TTTGAAGTACTTTTTTTTGACTGGGACCCATACGGGATACCCGACGGGCTCACCCATATGGGCCCCATATGGAAACCGCGGCCATGATTCGGTGGGATATCGTTGGTCTTCCCATACGAGACCCAGTTGACGACCCGTATAGGCCCCGTACGGTACCCGTATGTCAATGTTGGCTGGGACTGTATGGTTATATTTCATATAGAGCAGCCGTAATGTTGTTTTAAAGAGTTTTAAAGAGAACGTCCAGTTCCAAAGAATTCTTTAGAGCTGGACGTCCGTGATTCAAAGCCGCTATATGAGGTAAGGCAGGGTTTCTAATACTGTAGACATCTGTGGAGGTATGCAGTGGACCACTAAGTGGTTCAAGGCATGTGTTCTGGGGGTTTATAAAGCAAGCACAGATTTAAATAATATTTCAGGCTGAAACTTTGATTTTTTGACGAAATTTATTTTTTATTTTCAATTAATAGTTGATGGCATGATACTTGCATTCCAATGTCATACAAAAACAATCTTTAGTTTTTATTAACTGAAGAAAACATAAAACTATTAACTTTTTTGCTACAGTTTGTTAAAAACGACAAAAAAAAATAACGATTTGTATGTCACCTACGGTTTCACATTTGTTACTGAACGAAAACATAAAAGCCACAACGTTTTTTATGTGATAAAGTCTTTGCTAATGGTATTATGAAACCAGCATAATTTCAAGTAATTAAATTTTATACCAAAAAGTTCATTTGAGAATGACGGCATTTTTACTCAAACTAGATTTTATTCCAACACAAAAACCATATTTAGAAACATGAAACAAAGATGCATATTTGTTTATTTATTTATTTTGTCAATAAAAAAAAGAATTAATGCCGTGTTATATAAATAAAATCTACATGAGTGGGGCTAAAAGAAGACAATATTTGCTCTATCACGACGCCCCTAAGTGCTTTTACCAGCATACGTGTACAACCATTAAAAGGTAAACATGCAGTTTCTTTGTACCATTTAAAAATTATATTCAAACATTTGCAAGTATGTTAAAATCAGATATTTAAATTTGTACAGTTATATCTAGGTACAGTTACAAAAACGTACCTAGATACCTAGGTACGTTTTTTTTTATTATAGCTATAATAAAAAAAAACGTAAAAGCAAAATAAATTAAAATCACACCTAAAAACTAAAGAGGAAGAGGAAGTTAAGATTTTTTACATTTTTTTTGTTTTAACAAAGAAGTTTTTGTTTTAGTTTTTGTTTAAATAGAGAAAGTAAAGAACAAGTTTTCAGCTGGTTATTTAATAAAGTGTTCCGTAGTTCAGGACCTCTGATGGCAATATACAAACTAGTAACTCAAGAGTGCATTTTCGATTGCTCATAATTGTAATATAAAAATCTTGTAGGATACACGTGATTAATTTTATTGGAAAGTGTATTAAATATTATAGGAGTTATTTTTTCATGAAGTTTATACATATAAGCGTTTGATAAAGGTTTAACTGAAAAGCATTGAGCATGTGATGGTTTTTAAATAGTTCTTTAAAATGTGTGAATCGAATTGCACATGAAATAATTCTGACAGCTTGTTTTTGTCTACTCAGCATTTTTCCAATTTTTCTTACAGAGCTGCACCATGCAATACTTGCATAGTTTATATTTAAATTTTATTATGGAAAAATTTTAGATTTTTGAGCAATGTTGGGTTTAATAATTGCTTAGCTTTGTATAGTATGCCAATATTTTTTGAAATTTTATCTTCTATTGTTTTTAAGTGTTCTCTTTATGTCAAGTTTTCGTCAAGTATCACTCCTAAAAACTTTAATTAAGACTCTCTAATTATTTTAGAGTTGCTAATATAAAAACTAGGAAGTTTTAATAAAATATTTTCTTTATTGTAAAGTCTATGAAAAAGTTCACTTAGTTTTATTTAAATTTAAGGACAATTTGTTTGTCTTGAACCATTTTGCTATATTTAAAAATTTCTCGTTTACTGTTATAAATAAAAGGTTGATATCTTCATTAGAATAAAATAAATTGGTGTGATCTCCAAATAAAACTAAGTTTAAATTATTTGAAAACTTGTGGAAATCGTTTACATAAATAAGAAATAAAAGTGTACCCAGAATTGAGCCTGCGGGAACTCTGCAAGTTATAGTCATGAAATAAGTTTTTCCTTCTTCACATAATATGTATTGTTCTCTATTGTTTAACTTTTGCACCATTCTAAATATGTGCTTTTAATACCATAAATCTTTTATAAAAATGCTATTGTCTACTGTATTAAAGGCTTTGCTAACATCTATAAAAATTCCGAGGGTAAACTTATTTTCACCAAATGCTTAAAATATATTATGCTAATAATGGTATGGTCAGTTAAATAACCTGCCTGAAATCCAAATTGTTTATTATATAGAATATTATTTATATTTAGAAAAGTCAAATTGCGATTATATATAATTCGCTTAAAGAAGCAAGGGATAATTAAAATTGGTCTGTAATTCTCAGGATTAGAAATGTCTCCTGATTTAAAAGTTGGTATGACCCTCACAGTTTTAAGTTAAAATCCGGATAAATACCTAGCCTTAATGAGAGAATTAAAATATTTAAAAGAGGGATTGTAAAGTATTTTATCATTTTTTTAATTACATTACAACTAAAATTACCAAACTTTTATTTAGTTTTAAAAAATATACTGCATCTAAAAGTAAAATTATCTGTAATTTTATAATTATCACATTGCCTAACAAAAAAATTTATACACTATTATATTTTATATCCAGATCTTAACTTAAATGATAAATTAGTTAAAAGGAAAGCCAGTATTAGACTCTTAGGAATTTTGAATAGTGAAAATTTATTCTGGCTTCCTCAAATAGTCTAAGATCACCAAAACTGTTGGTATAATGTATCGAATTCGTTCCTACGTCAATAAACAAAGCCTCAAACTTATATATTTTGGGCTAACTCATTGCTTCATCAACTATGCAAACGTTTCATGGGCAAGTACACAACCATCAAAACTTAAAAAAATTTATAGTTTACAAAAACATGCTAGCAAGATTATTTACTCTAAAGATAAGCGTGTGATAAATGAAAGCTATGAAAATGATGGATGTATTTGAAATAAATGCCTATCAGCATTTAATCTTTATGTATCGAGTTTTTTTTGTTTTTTTATATGTATTTAATAACAATCTCTCTCCAGCAAGCTTTAATAAAAAGTTCGAAACAAATAAATATGAAAACTATAATGTAAGGGAAAATTTAATTAACACAAATAAACTGCCTTGTAAATCTGATAAATAAACGGAATATAGCATTACGTATAGAGGACCGAAAAAATGTAATACCTATCAAAAAGGACTCAAGTGTATGCTAAAGTCGTTAAATCTCTTGATCATTTTTTCAGTCTTTTTTTTTTTTTTTTTTTTTTTAATTCTTTTTATTTTTTTTATTTTTATTTTTCTGTTTTTATTATTAATGACTTTGTTTTAATTTTTAGCGCAGTAAAGAATACTATTATACTTTTATAGTTTCTTAGTTTTTCAATTTTTAGTTTAAAATAAAAATGACTATATGTTATTAAAACTTTTTAAGGGGCTCTATGAAAAGATTGCGACGACATATCGTCATCTATATCTTCTTTGAGCCATTCATTAAAAAATCCATTCAATTTTATATTTTATATACGAAATGGTGTTTGGTGTACAATTTTACTATGAATTATTGACAAGATGCACAATTTTACTATGAATATTTCTTGGTATATGTAAGTTGATTGTATTTATTAAACAGTAAAATAAATGTAAAAAAAAAAAAAAATAGCGCTTATTCATGTTAGACATCATAGTCTCAATATTTCTGAAAGATAAAAAAAGCTTATTGTATCAGATTCTGGAGACTGGAAATATTTTCCAAGGTCTACCATACTTAACCAAAGTTTTGAAATATTTAATTATTATAAACTTGTCTATTCAGAGTTGTCGGTAAAGATGTATGCACTAACATGTATGTTTTTTATAATATCATGCCACTTTGGAAAAGTTGCGTGGATGTATGTGTTACCGTAAATTGTTGTATGTTGAAAGAACTGCATTTACACAATAAAGTGCAATTGGCGAGAAGCTTAAACAAAGAAGTACATAAGAAAGTCTGAAAATATTTCGTAACACTAAAAAAATCATTTTAAGAGCAGTTATGCTCTGAAAGTCTTGTTCAGGAGACTTGGGTGCATAGCCTATTTATGAATAATATCAATCATGTTAATGACAAAGAGCTTGTTAAAGATGATTTAATTGACATAAGATCCAAATTGCTATTGTATGAGGAATTTTATGCAAAGAAATTTGTGATTTTTGGTGTACTTTAGGACAACTTTACCCTCTCCTTGTTAAACATATAATAAAAAGGATATGTCCATATTAATTCTGTTTGCTACTAAGCACCTTTGAGAGTTAGGGTTTTCAGCATTAGTAATAATGAAAACTAAATCTTCTAACCCGCGAAATGTCAGAAGTTATATGTTCCCAGCCGAAACCACGAGGCCGTATGTCCATTTTTGTGTTTACGAGAAAATCATATATTAAAATTTGTAAAGACTTACTTCCTGAATATCCAACTAATTTTTTAAATTAATGAACACAAACTCCATTGATTGTTCAGTATTTGTTGGTAATAAACAGAAGAAAAAAAAAGTTAACATACGGCTTCTTGGTTCTCCGTCGACGACGTGTCTTATGTTGTCTAGGAAAATTCCTCACTTTAGTGTGTTTATTGAAAAGAAATAGCAACAACCATCTCATTAAACTACTGTTTGATAAATTTAACTTGGTAATAATAAATTAAAGTGCATTTTTCATTCTTATTTTTTCTTTTTTCATACATTTAAATTTAGGTTTAATAATGGTTTGTCAAATTTCTAGATTTTTATACGTAGTTCATGACTACAAAAATGCGTGTGTTATGCGGAAAATACGGAAAATTTACGGGATATGCCCGAAGGTTTA